CACTGGCGATTTATCTCCAAGGTAACTTTCTTACATGATATTGGACATCCAATGTGTTGCACCACCACGATGCTCCGTCGAACGTGTTGTCGTGACGCACCACCACAACGCATCATCACGCCGCAACGCATCGTCGCGACATACCACCGTAACGCGTCGCGTCGCTATAATTCTTTCCCGCAATGCGTTGTGTTATCGCGACGACCTGCCGGAATGCTTTGCCGCAACGCACCACCGCAACACTTCGCTCCGCTTCGACGCTTTGCCGCAATGAGAAAGAAGATCCTGTTGCTTGCCTACTACGCAGGACGGGGACAACTTTCCTCTCCGCCGCAACGAGAAAGAAGATCTCGTTGCTTGCCTGCTACGCAGGATGGGGACGACTGCAACGAGAAATAAGATCCCGTTGCTTGCCTGCTACGCAGGTCGGGGACGACTTTCCTCTTCGCCGCAATGAGAAAGAAGATCTCGTTGCTTGCCTCCTACGCAAGACGAGGACGACTTTCCTCTTCGTCACAACGTTTCGCAGCAAGGCACCCCAAAAAATGCGCCGCGACGCGCCGCCACATTGCGCCACCGCGTCGCTCCGCCGCGATGCAACGACACGAAGCACCTCAACATCACGCCGCTACGCATTGCGCCACCGCATCGCGCCACCACTGTGCAACGCCACAATGCACCTCTACATCGCTTTGCAACCTATTGCACCAACACGTCGCGCCGCCACGATGCAACGCCGCGAGGCACAGCCACGACGCACCGCGGCAATTCTACCCTCCTTCCAGCCCATATTTATAGGGTGAAAAAGAGTTTGAATTATTAAATGTTCATTACTAAAATAATTAAAATGATCATTCAGCTCCCTTCAGCCGACGCTTCTGCTTCCCAGCGCTTCGGCTTCCTGCGGTTCAAATTCCGTCATTTGGACCAAGCCAGTGTTCTATCTTATACTCATCACAGGATTATCAAAGCAAATTAAAGCTTATATTACCAAATCCCGTCGTTTGGACCAAATCACACCTTTTGGCATTCTACCTTATCTTTATCATCGGGTTATGAAAGCAGATTAAAGTTTATAATAAAAATATCATCTTATGGAGCATTTATTACGGGAAGAAAAATGTCAGCTTATGATGGGAGCATTTGTAAAATTTTCCAAACATTGCGTCTATATATATATATAATATATATATATACACACACGCACGTATATTTAAAGAAGTGCTTAATTTTTTGGACGATAATATTGAGCTCGCCAAAAAATAGAGGGGCAACTAGTATGTCACCAACAAATTTTTATCATCCAACACGAATCTCGAGGCATAACACGGATCTCGAGACAATATTTTGAGCAAAAAACATTCAAATTTCAATTAAAAGTCATCCAGAGCTTCGATTTCAGTAAACTTATAGTCAAATTGACCAACTCGATGAGATGGACCTAATGATATCAAAGTTAGTCCAATCCAAGTCAAATCAAGCCCAGATCAAGTGATTAAGTCATTTTGGAAAATTTTCGGACACGTTTGAAAGATCAAACAAATGTCGAATTCAGCGAGTTTATAATCGAATCGAGCGTCTCGACAAGACGAATCTAACGAGACCAAGATTGCTCAATTCCGACATCATTAAGGCACTCAAATGTCCATCAAATGCCATCGATCGAAGGAAGCCCTCCAGACCGTCCGATCAAAATGGTTCATATTTTTGCATTAATTGCACCGAAAACACTATAAATAGAGTCTCACCCCTCACATGAAAAAGATGAGGCTTAAGAGAGAACTTGAGGCTTTGAGAAGGAGCTCAAGTCCAAGATCATCCTCGCCATCGTCGATGGCCGTCGACCACCACTGACCGTCGACAACCACCGCTGACCTCTGTCGACCCCCGTCGCCCGTCGGCCACCGTTGATCGTCGTTTATCTCCGCCGACCATCCCAGACTGTCATCGACTGCCGTCAGCCACCGCTGACCTCCGTCGACCGTCATTGATTGTCGTCAACTACCGTCGTTAATCTCCGCCCTCTGTCAACCACCGCTGACTAGACGTCATCAGTCGACGTTATAACTTGGAAAGCTATTAACTCTTACCCTTTCCCGCCTGTAGGACAAGGTAAATCTGTAATCATCAACTTATAGTGAATTTTTACAACTGGGTCAGACCCCGTGGTTTTTCCCCTTTACAGGTTTTCCACGTAAAAACTTCTAAATATTTTTTTCATCTGAGTGTGTGTCGAATCCTCGTGCAACGCTAAGACGATAATTCAATACTCTACCGCCGTGAATTTTCTAGCACGCATTAAGTATAAAATTTTCATTATTTTACTCTATATAATCATGCTTATTTGTTTATTAAATAAATAAAAAATACATACATATATTTATATATTATTAATTTTATTATTAAATCAATTTAACAAACATTATTAAAACTTGCCTCAATCAAGCCCTAAACGATGTGCAAACAGCTTCTTCCTTCTACCTGTGATGGTCGTGTGACCTCCTCTCCTCCTTCATATGAGCCTCATTCCTTTCCTTTGATCGGTCGCAAGGTACCGACGATGGCTCTGCCTCTTCCTCCTATGCTTAACAGAGAGGTCGCCTCCTTACAGCCCACAAGCACAGCGTCACTGGCTCGACTCAACCCGACGTAGCAAGTCTACCACACAGAACAGCCGCCACCTCCTTCGACAATTTTTTCTTCTCGTTCAACTTGATGGCAAGAGATCGAGTCTCTCCCATAAATCGTTTCTTGCATATGCTGCCCTCATACGCCTTAAATTATACACGAAAATATTATTTCGTGTTCCCAACCATTCGCGTCATACCTTCATGATTCCTCGGTTCTTCTTTGGTTTCCTCATTTTCCCTTTAAGCTCTTCATTTCTTCACCAAATACCTGAAATGGGACATCACATACCACTTGCTTGAGAGTTTATAGGTTGATGATAACTTAATAGCACCCAACAAATTATATAAGATCCTCCAAAAATATGAAAAAAATGTCAAAACCTCTATCAGATGCTATGATTTTAGGCAACCCTTAAAAGCTAATTATTTCTATCAATAAAATTTAACTAAGTGCATAAGTAACTCTGGATCATCGAATTCGGACATCGAAAATAAATAAAAAAATTGTTAAAAGTAAAATAGTACAGAAAAAATAAAAGAAAGTATAGCATGGGAAAAACTAAGCCATCTTAGAAAATATATCTACCATAACTAGTATACTATCATGACCTATGGCAGCCTTAGGTAATATGAATAAGAAATCCATGTAAACATTAAACCAAGTTGTCACAGGGTCATAAAAAGAAATATACATTATATCAAGGTTGATGAAAACTTAATAGCACCTAACAAATTATATAAGATCCTCCAAAAATATTAAAAAATGTCAAAACCTCCATCAGATGCTATGATTTTAGGCAACCCTTAAAAGCTAATTATTTCTATCAATAAAATTTAACTAAGTGCATAAGTAACTCTGGATCATCGAAAATAAAAAAAAAAAATTGCTAAAAATAAAATAGTAATGAAAAAATAAAAAACGTATAGGATGGGAAAAATTAAGCCATCTTAGGAAATATATATACCATAACTAGTATACTATCATGACCTATGGAAGCCTTAGGTAATTTGAATAAGAAATCGATGTAAACATCAAACCAAGTTGTCACAGGGTCATAAAAAGAAATATACATTATATCAGATTTAAAATTTTTGCCCTTCTACCAAAAAAGACATTTACTATCTGTCCTAATGGTATCCCATCTTAACGAAGGCCAGTGAAGCATAACATTCAAGCATGTGTATGATTTTATCCCGCTTAAAATGAACAGAAGCGGCACTGGCATAAATTTCCCAAATGTTATTAGAGATCCTAAAAATGCAAAAGCTACAACCTTCGTAAAGATGTCCATCTTCAACTATGATAGCAGAAGAGCAAGCACAAAATATATCCTTGTGATCATGTCAAATCAGGATAGACTTTGGAATGATGAATGTCTTTCAGAATTGCATGAAATGAAAGTGAAACTAGATTTTGTAGTGGGACTGCCTTTGACAGATCAAGACAAAAACTTTATCATGATCATGGTAAATCGATTCCAGAAGCTTCCTAAAAAGAGGACGAAGCTCCTCCTACCCAGGGAGAATGATGGGAGACATAAGGGTCATGGAGAAGGCGAGGGTGAAGGCAGAACCGCAAGCGATGACATGTAGAAGCGGGATCACCAGAATAGCGGGTTTTTTGTGATTTCCTTGCGCGATTCGAGGCTCCTCCGAGCGCAGTGCCAAACAGTGGGCGATGATTTTTAATTTTAGGTTTTTTATTTTATTTCATTCCTATTTCGCTATTTCTAATAAGTTATTTATGTGAGGAAACTAATTATATGTTATTATTTTCTCCTTATTTTTCCTATTAGTGTTGTATCTTTGGAATTTTTTCAGCTTGTGTATTTGTAGTCTAAAAAGATCAAAGTGGTGATCTCTCCCATACATTCAAAGGCCTCATTCATCTTCCAACTCGAGGTCAATTGTTGTTCTTAGCAGAAAAAACTTCTTTTATAAGTTCTGGTTCACTTTCCCACAATTATCCGCACCTCAAATTCAGTGGACACCTTTCTTCAATATCTATGCCACACCATTTCGTGGCTTTCCTTGTTGTTTTCAGTTGGCATAGCCTCCGAACATCTCTATCCTCCTCCAAATAACACTGATCACCAGTAGTGTTATTCTCTTACTATTCCTCTATATCCTCCCTGTCAAACTCACTTCCCAAACACCTTCTAGGAGCCCTAAATCGGTATCAATATGTTAAGTAAAACCTATTTAAGTTCAAACTTCACAGAAAACATATGCATAACCAAAAAATTATGCACATAGATAACTTAACCGATAGATACTTACAAAATAATAATAATACATGACCAGAGAAAACATATCGACTGAAGCAACTAATATAATTTCCAGAATTAAATGACATGTATTACATCATACCTGTTCCCTTGAAAATTTGCCAACACAGCCCCCTTCACTGAGTGTTCTAACTCCTACAACAATTGATCCCTTCGAATCAGAAGTTTCTGCTGCCCTTCCACCTCCAACAATTAGTCGCATGACACCACCTCTAGCCTCATTTTTCGTGATCTATCACCAAGTTCGAGGAATCCGGAAATAAAAATGAAGCATAAGAATTAAATAATAAAGAGATGCACAAAATAAATAATGGTACAAATGTTCATCATTTAAAATATACAAGGAAAGAGAAGAAGCTACACAAAGAAGTTGTCATTTTCAATAATCATTTAGCTTATCCAATGATCTTCTACAATTCATACAAGTGCAGTACCACGTGATTTGTTAAGTCAAATTTTCAAATATTTGTTTTTAATGATTTCCAATTTTGTGACCTTCATCCTAACAAAATATTCAACTTGCTAGTGATTTCTAGGCTCCCACAAGCAAAAATTTGTACAATGTTATCAATTTAACAATTTCTTCCTTCAAATATTTATAATATTCATTTATATTATAATATTTCAATGGCCCATTTCAAGCTTAACCATTAAGTTTTCACTTTATTAGAAATCAAATTATTTACATCCGCATTGAAGTGGCTAATTTAATAGAAAATTTAATCTTCATCCTTTGCATATATCATTTCTTATGGTCACTTTCAAGAAAATTACCAGTAGATTTCGACTCCAGATTGTGAATAAGAGCTGTACTTCTATCTTTAGGCTTAAATAAAATTACTCCATTACTCATAATAACACATTAATTCTTGCAAGTGGTTTAGCACGGTTTTTAGGCATCTCACCTTGGTCTACAGAATTACTTGGTCCTGGTCCTCCAGAAAGTATTTTATCTAACATTTTTAGTGAATCTACTGCCCTTAGTTGCACCACTAAAATAATTTAAATCTTACTTTCAATATGTACACCTATTGTTCCGTTAATATGTTTATTTATCTAGTTTCTTTCATAATTTCATCAAAATGGGGATTAGCATTCAAAAATCAACTTAGTTATTAAAAAATTTTCAATTGCTTAATAATCACATTCTTATAGCATGTCTGCCTTACAAAATTTTAAATAAACTTATTTTTAAATCTATATAGTATTCCATTACCACATCGCACTTAACAACCTAATTTTAACTAGTGTAGTTGAACTCATATATAATCTTATTTGTCGAATAATAAGTTAAAGATATTCCAACCTATCATAAGTATAATTTATTGATTAAAAAAATCATTAAGCAATAATTAAAAATTTACATCTATGAAAATTATATAATGCATATTTGATATATCGTAAACCCCTTATCATTCAATAATTCTTCCATTGCCCTAATTTTTCACAAAATAAGAGAGATGTAAAAAAATATTAAAACTATATCAGATGCAAATAACATAAGAAGCATCCTCTCAAATGCTATTATTAAAAATCAACAAATAAAATATAAAAGAGAAGTATTTGAATGGTAATAATCAATGAAGTCCTATCATGAATGTAAAACTTTTTGGTCATTTTTGACATAATGCATATATTTAATATTTACCCATATCTCTAACAAATTTTATTTCCTAACCCCACCAAAAAAAAAAATCCACAATCACTGTTCTTTAGATTTAGATCCCTAAACAGCACATGGCCTTTCTTAGATCCATAAACACCACATGACCATTCTATCTATCACTGCTCTTTATATTTTCTTTATCTACTATTGTAGCACCAAATCACCTCTAAGATAGACTTCAACAACAACAACAAAAACAACAAGAAGCCATTATCCCACTAAGATAGACTTCAGTGAAATAAAAATACATTAATTATTCAAGGTACTAGAGTGATTTTTAAAATACCTTCTATTTTCCTATTATATACTAATTCCATGACTTTTAGTATGATTCTCTTACTAATATGACAGAATTTAGATTGATCTTCAAGACTGCTTTAAAAAAATTTTCCAAAAATGAAAATCATTTAGTTTGCAATATTTAAATTCAAGATTTCATAACCGTTTAATCCAACACTTGCATCCCTTTTTAAATCTCATTTGTATACCATAAGGACTTGAACCTTCACCTTTATGTATCTTCTACAAAATTAATCACTTCACCTTGTTTTTAAATTTTATAGTATATTCAGGATTTTTAACGTTTTATCTTTCCAAATAACTTAATTCATCAACATTTTCATCTAATAGTTTCAATATATATATGTTCAGCAGCTTCTCTTTGAAAATAACCAAGGACTTTTCTCATTTCTAAAATAGGCATCCAAAATTTTATCATTATTTGAAACTACAAAATTAGCATAACTTCGCCCATCACGTTCTATGTCCAATTACATATATATGGCAACTTGAAAACAGCTACAAGCCTATGTGATCCATTGCAATGAATGAAAACATCTGACAATGGAAAACTACAATATTATGTTCTTTGGCATAAATTGTACATACCCTACTGTTTACTTTCAGCACCTATAATAGTAAAGAACTTAAGACACATTGATCAAGGCTTTATACTGTTGGATATATTTATTTAACCATCAAATAACAAGGAAATTATGGCACATGGATAGAGGTTCTATACCAGTAGATCTATCTCGCTATGACCCTCAAATTGTAATCCGTGTGTTTTCCTAAAGGATCATTTACATTTATTTCTTCCTCTCTCCCTTTTTTGATTTTATTCTTATTTTGTAGTACCTATGGGAAATGTATATATATCTCCCATCTTTTAGAAAGAAAAGTGAAAACACTTGAGATTTTCTTCCATCATTTTATTTTCTGCATGGTAATAGAGCAAGTTTAAGGTGTTTCTTTCGACCATTGTTCTTATTCTCTAAGATTAGAGTTTTCATTTCCAACCTTTGTTCTTATTCTCTAATGTTAGGATCTCCACTTCAAACATTTATTTTTATTCTCTAAGATTAGGATTTTCATTTCCAACATTGGTTCCTACTATCTAAGGTTAGTGTTTCCACTTTCAGCCTTATCTCTCATGTAGAATTCTGCTTCTATTCATTTTGTCGGAGTTCTTTGACTTTCCTTCAAAAGAATCGACCATTATAAAGAATGAAAATAAGACAAAAGGAGAACTCCAAGTATTTCAAAGCATCTTATCACTTGAATGGAAATAATTACCTCAAATGGTCCCAAATTGTAAAGACCTTTGTAATGAGAGAGAAAAATCCAACATCTTATGGAACTCTTTGGAGTCCAAAGACTCAAAATTATAACTTTGGAAAGAAATTGATTCTATGATCATTATGTGGTTATAGAGCAGCATGCTATCAGAAATAAGTGAGACTTTTATGTTTCATGCACAATAGAAATATATTATGGACCTTTTAAAAGAAACCAAGATAATAGACTGAAAAACAGAATGAAACTCCAACTGAAACAGGATAAAATTGGACTTCGATAAAAGAACTATAGTAAATACAGGTCAATGACAAAGGAATTCAACTTGTCAGCATATTCACCAAAGGATACTTCATCCCAACCGTTAAAAATATCATAAGCAAACTCGGAATGATAGATCTCTAACATGCTTGAAATATTGCATTTTGCATTAATCGTAAAAGGGAGTTACAAAAAGCACAAAGAAACATGTGCTCATTCATGGGCAAAAGAAGCATTGTCATCTCGGAGGATGGTAAAAAGCTCCGAAGATCCAGGCACTAAAGTAAGAGAAAAGCTATGTGAAAGATCCCTTTGGACACAAAAATGGGCAGCTCTTTGAAGGGGGGTGAAGAATTTTCACTCCAATCATAAAAAAAAACATAAAACACATGGATCAAGGATTTATACCGTTGGATCATAACAAAGGGCTTGAATGTAATAACTCAACAAAATCTATAGAAAGAGGTTTCTTTCGGAGAAAAAATTGTTTGATTTAGAAGAAGAAAATACCTTTTTTTCTATTTTTTTTTAATCCGGTTGCGAGGTCTGAATAATAGGTATGAATCATAGTTCAAATATTTCTTTTCTTGATCTATTCTATATAGTCCATGCTCCAAAGACTACAATAAATATCTGACGGTAGAATCATCTTGATAGAAATAAAAAGAACTAAGTATAAGAGCATTCTAAGTAGAATAATTAAGTAGAACAAAGAAATTATGGCAAATGGATTGAAGTTCTATACAATTAGATTTGTCTCTCTATGACTCTCAGATTGTAATCTGTGTCGTTTCCTAAAGGATCGTTGACTCTTATTTTTTTCTCTTTTTTTTTTTTTTTAATCCTATTTTGTAATACCTATGGAAATGTATATGTATCTCCCCTATCGTGCAAAAAAAATGAAGACTCTTGAGAGTTTCTTCCATTAGTTTATTTTACACACATATATTGGAAAATTAAATGGCATTTTAAGACATAAATTATGAACAAGATGATTTAATTGGATTTTTATTCAAGCAGCACAATCTTGTGGCCCCTCCACATAAGAGTTTGGAATATGTTAGATAATCGCTACAGGATATTAATCTTCATATATCAATGTAAGCTTTTCTTTTTTCAGTTTCATTGATGCTTAAAAATCTCTAAATAAAAAACTAAAATGCTTTTACAAGTTATGGAGTTCTAATTTCCAAAGTTTAACAATTGAGATGATCACAGGAATAATAACTTGCCAGTTTGGTGCTTACCTTTACATAATTATTTAGTTCATCCTCTTATCTTGATCATTTTCTTTGCATGCTTCTTTTGCACTGTCCAGAGTTTGGCTGAAGATTTATAACAGTAAATACAAGCTCATCTAAAAATATACAATACACAACAACTTCAAGGAACAGCAAAAGATAGGGAACCTCACCATTTGCATCTCTTGTTCTTTAAAGATTAGGGTTTCTTCACCTCCAATCTCTTAATTCTCAATTTTCTATATGTAATATTAATTGAATTAATTTCTATCATCTACACATGTTTCTGTTTTTCATTCCAGCTTTGAACGACCATATGAAAGAAAATAAAAATTCAGTCATATTTAAAATAATCAGCTCTCTCAGTGTGTTAGCTAATTCCTGAGCTTTAGATTTGCGACAAACATTTTATCTTAAAACATCCTGCAATAGCAGTGGCATCAGCACATTTAAATTAACAGTACATCTTTTCAGACAAATAGCATATACCGCTGAATAATAAATCAGGATTACCTTGTAATTCACAGGAATTCCATTTGAAAGGCGGCGCTGCATAATGCCAGTTTCCTCGTCAAACCGTTTCATCGTTTTTACTTCTTTGCTTAGAGAAATGAAAGATGGTTTACGTTGTAATCTCAAGTCCATTAACTGTGACAATGTTATTAACTCTTTCGGCACCTCAAGCTGCAGAAGCAAACAAAGAAAAAATTAAGAAATAATCAGCACCATGATATTCACCTTCAACTGAAGTGGGCCTATTTCTATATAAACAAACAAATAAATGGTGAAAACCCACAACATTTATGATGATATGCTCAGATAAAACAAACATTAAAAATTAGATTTGGAATAACCGTGTTACCATAGACCTTGCGTCAGCACTTCATATTGAGATTTTGACAATAGAAGATGCAAGTTGAGGATTCATTGTATTTCCTCCCAACCATTCTAAACTCAAACAAAACAGCATAGAAAGGGAAAAAACTACAACTCAAGGCTTTATTTATCATTAATCAATCTTCCATTAATATAGTATTATAGATGACCTATTTAATAAAGTTATTTGTGTAATTATTTTGGTGTGGACTATTTATGGATTTTAATAAAGAAGGTACTTCAGCAATTTTAACAGTTATTGTTGTTAGGGTTTGGACTCTATTTAAAGCCACATCATCTATCCATCATGATGTTCTCCCTGTTCCTAATGAAGTTTTGTCTCAAGTCATCCTGATTTTAGGTAAAAATTTTCATTGGGATCCACTTCAAAACGGAGCTGCTTCCGTGCGTCCTGCATAGATTGTTGAATCCTCCCAGAATAATTCATGGTCAGCTCAACCTGATCCGAAGTGAGAGTAGCCTAAATCTCGAACGGAGGTGGCACTGGTGGTAAGGTATCGACCGTGATATCCTAAAATGCTCTCTAATACACAAGTCCTATGTCTGGAGCTGGTGTCTCCAGCCCATCATCCTCTGTCATCACCAAAACTGATCCATCGTTGTTGTTCTGCTAGCAAGGGCACATATCTCAGGCTCTGCTAAAGGGAGAAAGATGATGTACTTCATGTCCTTGATGAATGAGTAGGTGTTTCAGAATAAGTCGCGTTGGTTCTACAATCACTGTGCCAAGGTCTCCCTAACAAAAGATGACAAGCATCCATAGAGACCACGTCGCACCAAAACTGATCCTGTAGCTGGCTTCCCATCGAAAACTCCACAAGGCACCTCCGGTCAATGATGATCATGTCCTTCTTTAGCCACATCAATGAATACAGCTGGGAATGCCTCTGAGTCAAGAGGCTCAATTTTTCTATCATCGGTGTAGATGTCACATTCTTGTTGCTCCCCCCATCAAAGATGAGACTGCATACCTTTGTTCACAGTGCAGTGAGTGCAGAATATGTTGTGGCAAAGCTTCTACAACTCCCTCGTATCCTCCGTCTGTAGGACCCATCAAATCATGAGCATTTCGGCCTCATCAGGTGGATGATGATGCCCTCAACTTGTTCTTCAATTATATCTTCAATCGTCTCCTCATCGCTAACATCCTCTACGGCGCCCTGCACTGTAAGACACAACTCAGCTCATCGGAAAAAGGAGGCGTGCTCAAATCCGTTGTAATTGAAGCATTTTCTGGGAGGGGCTGTAGAAGACGCGATGTTCTTTTCATTTATTTTCAGTGGACCCGCTGTTTCATGTGATGAAATATCATTGGAGTCCGGATGCAGCAGTGCATCCGGACTCCGGATAAAATATTTTTTAAGCCCACACGGTTCACTCCTAATTGTGTCTCCCACATGTGATTCTTCCTCGGTGTCATCTTCCATCATCTTCTTGAACGCACACATTCTACTATGGTGCATCACCTTCTTTCCCCTTCTCATTTCTTCTTCCCTGCTTTTAACTCTTTATGCCTCTAACATTTATTCCCCCTAGTTAGAATGAGGTGTCGTCTCTTACGAATAAATGTTGAAACGACGACTGATTTGAATAAACACAGAATTAAATTATTTTATATAATTTATTTATTCTGATTAACATTGCGATTGTCGGGTCCCAAGCCTTTATTAAAAAGAGTGGAAGGCTATGTAATTAGGTAGTCAATAGTTAGCATAAAATTTATCTAAAAATCATGAAGAATTACCTTTAAATCCTTGTGTAATTGTTGAGGCGTCCCATGGAAGCAACGCTTTATATGAACTGAATACAGTAAAAAGTGTGCAAACGTAGCTATACCGACACTCAGGTGTGGTGTCAAATAAGCAAAGATACCCACATTACAGACAGATGCGGGTAAGAAAATGTGTCCATCAAACGAATAGTATGATATGATCTTGGAATGTAGAGACTCTCAAAAGTAAATTAATAGAATTAATCGATATTATGGTCCATATGAAGATAAATATCTTATGTATTCAAGAAACTAAATGATTTAGAAAAAAGGCTAAGGAGATTTACATTTTAGGTTTAAAATTTTAGTATTCATGTAAGAGTCGAACTAAAAATGGTGTGCGAGTATATATAGATAAGAGTTTGAAAGATAATATTGCAAAAATTAATAGAATTAGAGATAGAATTATAGCCCTTATGATTGTTGTTGATACTAGAATTTTTAATATTATAAGTGTTTATGTTCTTCAAGTACGTTTGGATATAGATTCAAAGGAAAGATTTTGGAATGACCTAGAAAAATTAATATAAAGGATACCTCTTGAAGAAAGAATTTTTATTGAAAGAGACATACATGGAGAAACTGGTTAAGTGATGAAAGATTTTAAAATATTCATGGTGACTATGATTTTAGAGTGATTAATGAATAAAGAAGAACCATATTAAATTTTATTTTAAAGTATGATTTTGTTATTGTTAATACTTAATTTACGAAAAGAGATAAGCATATTATTACTTATAATCTAACAAAGCACAGATTGATAATTTTCTCATCAGAAAAAAAAATCGTCAAGAGTGTAAATATTATAAGATCATTCTAAGTGAAAATTTAAATACTCAATATCATTTATTAGTACTGGATTTTAAAATGAAACGATGTAAGATAAAGAATTCAGGAAAATATTTTCATAAAATTAGATGTGGCACCTAAAAGACAATATAAATTATTTCTATGAGTAAACTTATAGATTTCAAGATTTTGGATGTTCATGAAAAAGCAAATAATGTAACAAGCACTATTAAACAAGTGGCAAAAAATATACTTGAAGAATCAAAAGAAAAAAACTGATGATTCTCTTCTTTTTACAGAGGACAAGAGCTCAAGGATCAAAGATTTCTTTAGCTTTAAGAAGTTCTTATGTGTTTTTTATGTTGGGAAGATTTTTTGACTTCTCAATAAAATCAAGATCTTGACGAGTCCCAAGGAGAGGCGATAGCTCGACTGAAAGGCGCTAGAGAACGAGGTGATAGACTAGAGAAAAAAAGGTAATAGCGGTTTAGGGGACTCCATGGTGTTTTCCTCCTCAAAGGACATGTTGCACAGCCTTGACTGAAAAGTGACTTTTCCATGTTGGTCAACAACCAACCAGAACTCGCTCGAATTCTGAAAGATGAAAAGAGTCTGAATTCAAGTTCCAATGATACATCTTCTAGAACTATGAGTTGATCCGCGATGACTATGAACGATTCTAGTATTCAATCGTCCAGTACTCAGGGTTCTTCTGATGGTCTTTCTGAGGATCATACGAGTCTTAACCCTTCCAGTGAACTTAGAGTAGAGCTTCAATCTTATATACACGATAAAATGGGGGAGTTGATGATTCACATCTGACTGATTAGTGCACCCGTTGTATTTATTTCTACTCATGGTTGGTCAAGACAAAAAAATGTTGTATTTTTTGGTACATCATTATGGATTGGATTAATCTTTCTGGTAGTTATCCTAAATTCTCTAATATATTGAACTTATTTAGTATTGACCCGATCCAAAAATGACAATCCTTCTAAGAAATGCAAATTGTGAGACACACTAAGATTCTATCTGAGTTCCAAACAAAAATGACATTTCATTGTTATGAATTGGATAGAGAGAATTCGAGAGAATTCATAATCTGATCTTACTGACTCTAGTTTTTGTATATGGCCCTGTGCAAATATGATCCAGATGCATATATGATATAACATATATGTAATATATGTGTGGACATGTGCGTACGTATTAGGAATGAAGAAAATGTGGATATGGTCGAATGGTCAAATTTTTCTTTGCCAAGGAGAAGATGCAAGTTTGATTCCCACTGTGCTAGGAGATCTATAATGGTTGTTACATCTCCACCACCCCCATCCCAATTCAAGTCCAGTCTTGACTTCTTCATTCACACAATTGGCAGTTGAAAGGAGGAATGCCAGTTTTGTCTTCCTTCGGTAAGTCATAGCGTGAGACTTTAGTCTTCTCTTCTCCGCCCACCAATCACTAAACCCCAGAAGAAAACTCCTGGTTTTTTCTTCTGCAGGTTTCATTGACAAACCAAAGATTAGTGTAACAACGGATCTACAATCCAGCTTCAGTTCTTTGGGTTGCGGAAAGCTTTATTAAAGATAGCTGAGCTAAATGAAAAAAAAAACATTGAACAAAGGCATATTCATCAGAATTACCAGTCATAGAAAATAAAAAATTGTATGTGGTATAATAATAATGTACAAGAAAATAAAAAATAAAAAAAGTTGTTATAAAATTTTGTTTAAATATTAAAGCTTAAATGATTGAGAAAAGTTTAAGCTGATTCATAAGAAATCTAAGGGTCCTTTTGGGGCCGCTTTTCTGCGGCTTCGCGGCCCCGAGTAGCGAAAAAAGTTTGTTTGGCTCCTAGCGTCTTGGCAGATAGAAGCTAAAGCAGCAGAAAAGCGGGCCGCGGTATCCATCTCATGGCCTCAACTTTCGCCTCGTCAAATTTTATAATTGCCCTCGGAACCCTCGCAACCCTCGCAACCCTCGTTCCCTCTATCGCCGTGGCAACCCTCGCAACCCTTGTTCCCTCTGTCGCCGTCTTTCCTCCCTCTGTAATAAATCCCTAGTTTTGTGACATCATGAACAAATCCTTCGCCTTCCCAATTCTTGCAGCTTTGCTTTCTCGCGTTTGAGGGAGACGCACAGTGGAAGTTCGCTGCCGTTTGAGCCATTCTCTGCCTTTGGAGACGTTCTCCGTCTTTCACCGCCGAATATCAACAATAGCCGG